GTTGTAAGTAAGTTGTAAGTTCTTCTAGAAAAAGTTCGCATGTTCCTCCAGAAAATCCTATATTTCCTGCTTTGATGAAAGATAAGTAAAAATGACTCTACAATCCTTTCTATGAGTACTAAATGGATACAAGTTATATAAAACCCAGAGTAAACAAACAATTGATTGTGTGCATCTGCCCTAAGCCCACAACCAAACAAGGAACAGGGAATGAGGCGGAAGGCACACATCCCATTGTTTGTTAGATCATCGTTGTATATAACCCTGGCGTATTCACTTGGTAATCACGGAGTTAACTGTAATAGTTCCTTTATATTTGATGAAAACATTCTTTAAGAAAACCCTTATTGTTTTAGTAAAAATGGTAACCACAATGGTTCCTTCTATAATCACTTAGTTTATTTATACTAGCTATATATAATCTAATATCGAACAGATAGTTAATTGTGTGAATCTGCCCTAAGCCCACAACCAAACAAGGAACAGGAAATGAGGCGGAAAGCACACATCCAACTACCTATCGGATATTAATTATATATAACCCTGATGTATAAACTAAGGTATTATAGAATTAACCAATAAAGGTCCTTTAAGTTATACTGGTTTAATAAAATGGATTAAACCTTTTACAGGAAAGTTTCTAGTTTTGTTTACCAAACGTTCTATATGAAAAGTATGTTTTGTACTAGAAAACGGTGCATTGAATTAGTGTCCTATGACCTGACCCATACCTGGTACTCCTTATGATTACTTGGTGTATACGGAATATATATATATAGCTAAGATCGAATAGATAGTAGGCTGGGTGAATCTGCTCTAAGCCCACAACCAAAAAAGGAACAGGAAATGAAGCGGAAAGCACACATCCTACTACCTGTCGGATCCGATTAATATATATCCCTGATGTATAAACTAAGGAATCATAAAGTTAGCATTATAGGCCCCTTTCTACTGAATATACTAGACTCGATTGTTCTGTTTGTCGCTTGAAAAGATGTAAGTTTTCCTTAGTTTATAACTATCTTAACTCGAAAATAGTTTGCATTAACTTTCAAGTGGAACTGTCACAATATGAAAGTAATGGGAAAAATGAAAGTATACAGTTGTCTTTTAAATTGAAATACTGAAGTACAGATTACCTTAAAACTAGTTTGTTTTATTAACGTCATAATGTGATGTGATTGTACCCATACTATACGCTCTCCCTGCAAGAGACTCTGGTTACAAAACGAGACTTCAGCAAACAAATTGCTAAGCCGTGAAATAGTCTCACATTAAAGTTATGTTGATCTTGTATACCACATTTATTATCACCTTTTGTTTAGAACAATGAGTTAGTGATCATTGGTATAACTTTGTTAATCATGATTTGTTCTTCTGTTATAGTATATAGTGTTCTCTCTGTTATAGTGTATAGTATCTTCCTCCCTGTTTCTCTTTATAGTATGTTCTCTATGTTATCGTGTATTGTATCTACCTCCCTGTTTCTCTTTATAGTATGTTCTAGTATCTAGTATTAACTGAACCCCTAAACTATACCTATTATAGTTTACTAGTATCTTTACTTGAACTGCTTACTGAAAAAGACTCATTTATCTACTAAGTTATGATTGTACTTTAAAAACGGAGTTTTATAAACTATAAAGTAACATAACTTAAAAAGAGTTTTTGAAATATTTTGATCACTCATGAAACATAAGCAATCCTTTAAAATGATGTTTATAACAAAACATTTACACAATTAACATTGTGTTCAACTTGTATTCCCCCCCTTAAAAGCATTTAAAACAGTTAAAAGATTGATTATAGGGGTATGAACTCACCTTATATGGGTGATTCAAACGAATATGCGCGTAAGGTTGAGAAGTTCCACGAATGAAGTCCCGAGACACAAATGAGTCCTAATGACATATATTGGCATGAATATAGTGTTTAAATGCAACTAACTTGCAAGGAAACACCCTAAGGGACTAGGAAACACTTGGACTAAGTGTATCAATCACATATGATTGATCAAAGGGGTGTATACGGCCACAATATGGTGTGTACGGCCATGGAGTGTACCGTCGTACACTCATGGTAAATCATGCACAAAAGGGGTGTTTGAACCATGGGGAAGCTAGTAGGACTATTGCTCAACAAGAACATGAACTAGGTTCTCATTTTGGAGGGCCTTTTGGGGTGTTTTGAGGTGTGTACGGCCATGCAAGGGTGTTCGGCCGTACACTCCTTTGGTTCCAGCTAAATGGTCATTTATAGGGTGTTTAACAAGAGTATCTAACGTATACAAAGCATAGGGAAAGGATACTTACGATTTGGAGGCTCAAAGAGTGTTCACGACCACCAAGAACAAGTGTGTGTTCTTGGTGTTCTTGGTGAAAGATGAAGATCTTGAAGATCTACCCAAAAAGATGATTTTCATGGATGAAATCAAAGGGTGATACATGATTAAGAAGGATAACAACTCAAAGATGGAAGAAACACTTACGTTTTTGAAGATCCAAGATGAAGAACTCGATGATACTTGAGAGAGAATCGATTTTATAGGCTGTGAAGTTGTAAGAATGAAGAATAATGAAAGGATACTCTTCATATGGGGGTGGTGTACGGTCAACATGGGTGTACGGACGTACACCTATGTGTACGGACGTACACTCCCTTGGATGGAGTGTTCGGCTCGATTTCAACTCGAAGAACTTACGCAACTCAATCCTATACCCAATGCTTGAATGTACTGAGCTTTGAACCCTTTAACAGACTCTAAACAATGCTAAAAGATAGCAGAAACGGGTCTGACACTCGGTTGAATTGAATGGCTAGACTTACAAGGAAAAAAAATTTGGGTTGTCACAATAGGTGTTGGGATGCTTGGAAGGAACTATTCCTTTCACTTATCTCGGGGTTCTGGTTGGAGTAAATATGGGACTAAAGAAGCACTGACAACCCATAGTTAAGAAATTTCAATCAAGATTGTCGGCTTGGAAATCGAAGGCATTGTCATTCGGTGGTAGACTAACTTTAATCAAATCTGTTCTCAACAGCTTGCCGACGTACTACTTCTCATTGTTTAAAGCTCCTAATGGCATCATCGATGATCCAGAAAAATTGAGGCGCAAATTTATATGGGGTGGAGATGATACAAAAGCAAAAATTCATTGGGTATCATGATCAAAAATAATTTATGAAAAAAAAAGATGGAGGTTTGGGAGTCGGAACTTTGAAAGCACAAAATTTAGCCCTACTCACCAAGTGGTGGTGGCGGCTCAAAGTAGAAACTGGAAATTTATGGCGGGATTGTATTGTTAGTATACACAATCTAATGAGGAAACCGACTGATTATATTGCCAAGAAATCAAATCCTAGAGCGTGGAGCAACATATCGAAATCCATCACATGTCTTAATGATCATCATATCGATCAGGACACACTTTTCTCCCTAATCCCAAGCTCTAAGATCAACATCTTATTCTGGAAAGACAGGTGGTGTGGTGACTTTACCTTAAAAAATCATTTTCCCTATTTACATGACTTGGAATTTAGGAAGAATTGCTTTGTCAGTGAGCGAGTTTCCAATTCGAATTTCACATGGAATTGGAAAAGCCAATTAAAAGATACGAATCTTCAACAAGACTTATCAAACTTATGCTTCATTATCATGTCGAAAAATATGACAGCATCAGAGATAGGTTTCCGATTCAATCATAATTCTTATGGTAGGTATTCAATTGGCGTACTAAGAAGAATGCTTTACTCGAGAACGCCCACACCAAACTGTGTGGTAATCTGCGATTTAAAAGAGGTACCAGTCAAAATCATATGTTTCGTTTGGAGAGCTGCATTAGGAAGGCTGCCAGTGGCTAGCAATTTGATGTGTAAGGGCATAAATGTCCAATCCAGACTATGTCCATTGTGTAAAGTAGAACCGGGATCTGAAGATCACCTCCTTATTCGATGTATCTTGGCGCATGAAGCTTGGGAATGGATTTTGACATGGTTTCGTGTTTCTAAAAGACAATTTTCATCCGTATCTGAAATATATAATTTTGCAGCCACTTGGGGTAATTGTCCTTGGAAACGGTTGATCTTAACTTCCATCATCCATTTTTTGTTACTGTTCTGGCATATCTGACTGGAAAGGAACAATAAGGTGTTCAAAAACTTACGCCCCACTCCTTTGAAGACTGTTGACTGTGTTGTTACACAGTCGTATGTTTGGTTTAAGCATAGAAGTTCAGTCGGTTGTGGCAGTTGGGCAGATTGGTGTGTTTCCCCTTTTAACCATTTTCATGTGTAATTCTCAATTTTGTAACTCTTCACACCTCACGTTTTAGTTACTTGCTAAGCGTGGGTCTTATTATTAATATATTTGTCGTTTCCAAAAAATAAACTTTAAAGTACATAAAGGTGGCTGTCAGCTTTCAAAAGATTACTAGTGTATTAATTGGACATGACAACTGTATATTGAAGATTACAGATAACCCTGCTCTGGTCGCTTCTTTTTTGTAGCCTTTATTTTGGTTATTTCTTCTTTGTATCAACAAGTGTAGAGATGATAGTTTTTTTTTATTATTATTAGAAAGGGAAATGTTGTCTTCTACATTGGGATTTGGACCAAAATCGATATTTCATAATAAGGACCAAAAGTGAGAAAGAAAACTTTTGGCATCAAAACTATAAAAATAAGCTGTATTCAAGGACCAAAATTGTAATTTACTCTTAAACCAAAGTTGAGACTTGCGTATTTCCGTAACTTCTTCGCAAGCACCAAGACTACCCATATTGACTATCCAGCAACTCCTAAGTCGCATGTGGCGGCTCAAATCTGGCTCATTAGATTAATTAAATATTTTTCCATATCTATCGATATATATATATATATATGCCTAAAGTAAGTAACCATTCTAGATCACCAGAGAGGCCTTGCAATATCTCAGAGAGTTTTTATACAATTAGCTTCTTCAAAAATCAAACTGAAAAAGTTGTTTAATATCAATTGAAGTATGGGTTCCGGTGGGCGTGCAACCCAGAGAGATAACTCCGGGAATAAAGTTGTTAAACGAGCTCCATCTTCAAAGCCACCTTTCACGCTTTCCGATATAAAAAAATCTATACCACCACACTGTTTCAATCGATCCCTACTCCGATCTTCATCTTACCTTTTGGTTGATCTCTTTTTTTCCTTCTTCTTTTACTACGTTGCCTCCACCTACATCATCCACCTTCCAACCCCTCTTTCTTATGTAGCGTGGGTCGTTTATTGGATCCTTCAAGGTTGTGTCCAAATGGGTTTGTGGGTCATTGGCCATGAATGTGGCCATCAAGCGTTTAGTGACTACACATGGTTAAATGACACCATCGGTTATTTTCTACACACTAGTCTCCTTGCTCCTTATTTCTCTTGGAAATACAGTCATCGTCGTCATCATTCTAACACTGCTTCACTTGAGCACGATGAATCTTTTGTCCCCAAAAAGAAATCGAGCTTAAATTCTTTTGCCAGACTGCTCAACACTCCACCTGGTCGTCTCTTTAGGCTCGTGATTTTATGCACTGTAGGCTGGCTCTTGTACGTTTGTTTCAATGTTTCTGGACGAAAGTACGAGAAATTTGCCAACCATTTCGACCCAAAAAGTCCTATTTACAGTGATCGCGAGCGACTCCAAATCCTCCTAACAGATATTGGACTTCTTGTAGTAAGTTTTGGCCTCTACAAAATGGCCTTAGCACAAGGGTTGACATGGTTAGTGTTGGTCTACTTTGCTCCTTTGGTTATCGTGTATGGATTTCTCGTCGTCATCACTTGGTTGCATCACACTCACGCATCACTTCCCCATTACGACTCCACTGAGTGGAACTGGTTGAGAGGAGCTTTGTCAACCGTTGATAGGGATTACGGTGTTTTGAACACAGTTCTTCACCACATCACGGATACACATGTCACCCACCATATGTTCAGTACTATTCCTCATTATAATGCCATGGAGGCCACAAATGCAATCAAACCCATCTTAGGGGAATACTATCAGTATGACGACACCCCCATAGTTAAAGCAATGTGGAGAGAAGCTACGGAGTGTTTCTTTGTTGAGGCTGATGAAGGTGACGACAACAGCAAAGGTGTCTATTGGTTTAACAATAAGATGTAATTTTTTTGTAATTCTCTTTCCTTAATTCTGGCTAATTCCTACTGCATTCGCACTAAGCTTTTAAAATGTATTCCTTACGCCAATAGCGTTGGTGTAGATTTGAAGTTCAACGTTGCAAAGTATTTATGAATAAATGTCTACTTTAAAATTACAGTTTCCATTGTACTTATAACAATAAGAAGTTTTTAACTATTTAACATCTATATAATACCTTTTTATATCTATTTTCTTTGAAACTTTAACTTACAACCGTTATTATTTATTTATATATAAATTCCTTTACATATTAAATATATAAATTCTTTGAAGCATCTCCGGTTAGTCTTGGATAATTTTTTTTTTTTTTTTTTTAAAATGTATGTATAGCCCAAAAAGACCGGAATTTAAAATCGGGTCAAAGTTGAGTTGTTCAAGTTGACTCTTGTGGTAGTATGATAGCTAAGCCTTATTTGGCTAGTCCAAAAACAACTATTTATTGACCTTATATAATTATATTATGGGGAAAATGTTTAAAAAAGAAATGATGTAAATAAATAAATAAATAATGTTTTACTGAAAATGTTGGAATTGAAAAGTTTGACCGTATTGATATATGCGGACTCATCTCTATTTATCGATAAATAAATTTTTGTCATGTTGATGTTATTTGAAGACTCGTTCCTAATGGCTATTAACAATTAAAAAAATTATCGTTGTTGTTATTTGTAGACTCGTTACTATTTGATACTCCACCTAATGGGCTTGAAATGGGTTTAGAAAAAATGACATAAGTATATCACACATGACACACATCCTCACGATTTATTTTCTACTTAATGGGCCTTAGATGGGTTTAGAGTGCGTTAACCAACGATCATCTGTCAATCTATTAATCATATATACGTCTAGAGATATCAATTAAAACGATCATTTTTTTTATAGGTTCAAGAAAAAACAATTATTTTCATATTGTTGGAATCCTAAGTCGATGAAGACTTGGAGACCAAACAATCTAATTTATGGAAAGTTGAATTTATGGCAAGTTGGTCATAAGTTTCATAGTCTAATACAAGTTGGTATGTTAGGCTATATATACATATACTAGGTTACAACCCGTGGGAACCACGGATGAGAATGAAAAACACTATTGATAATTTCAAATCGTAATAAGTAATCAAAGATTTGTAAAAAACTTTATTAATTTACAAAGATAAAAAAAAATTGTAAGTTTATAATGATTAGTAATTAAAATATATACATTGTTATGAATATCCGATCTACGTTCTGTATGCGTAGATATTTAATAAAATCGTGATTTTGTACAATGCAATATAAATTTCAATAGATTGAAAAAAAAACACAATTAATCATGGAAATAACATTGTTATATGATAAATTAGAAATGACGGTAATTTAAATTACAAATTAAAATGATGAATAAGTATGATTTACTAAAAATAATAAAAAATGATACGAGGGTGATAATTTAAAATAACATAGATAATATCACAAACACACACAAAAACACAAAGACACATGACGCAAAATGATAGGAACTTTACAATAAATAGCAACCTACTTTTAAAGTTAATCTAGAATAGCAACCGACTTTGTAAAAATAGGTTATGATAGGAACTTGTTCAATTTCTTTGTCATTTTTGCAGATTTGGTAGTTTTTTATACTAAAGTTTATGATAAATAGCAACCAATTTCGTATAAATAGGTTAAGATAAGAACTTGTTCCATTGTTGGTCATTTTTTCAGATTTGGTCATTTTTTGACATGAAAGTTTACAGTAAATAGCAACCAACTTTGTAGAAATAGGTTGTGATAAGAACTTGTTCCATTTTTGTTCTTTTTACGTGAATTTTATACTAATATATATATATATATATAATATATATATATATATATATATATATATATATATATATATATATATATCAATCCGTTTTGTAAAATTAATTTATAATAGCAACATACTTCATAGAATAACAACATGCTCAACCTTTTCAATCTCAATACCATTTCCAATACAATCCAACAAAATATCATTTGAATACGTTATACATTGCACCATGTTTCTTTGCTTAACGCATTAAGTTAGTCGGTATGATGTCCTGATCAAGTCTTAACTCATTAAGCCAAAAAGAAATAGTCGCTCACACATAGTAGCCTCATCGAAATTCTATAATTTAGTCTAATAAATAACGTCGATCATAAATTATAGTTATGATGCACATTGTTCTTATTTTAACCACATTTTACACATTGACTTTACACCAACCATTCGAAAGTGCTCTATATGTTATCACCATAATGCAATTAGCTTGTAAAAAATGTAATTACCTTGCAAAAATATTAAATTAAAACCTATGTCAAAAAAAATTCTTAAAGAAAATCAAGTGTATCCATTTGAATCGATCTTTACCCTAAGCCGACAATGTTAACGTACAAGAGAATAATGGAGTTGAAAATTTTGAGATTTTTTTATCCCCAATATATTATAGTTGGATTTATGTTAGATTAATTCTTTACAGCAAAACCACACTTACATCAACAATTATCAATTCAATCAAACAAAAACATATATAAACAACAAAGATCGATAGTATATATCTTTTTGAGGTCCGCTTTTTTCCAAGGATATAGGGGCAGGTTGATCATCCAAAATAACGACAAATACAATCTTAGATCCTACAAAAAAATTATTACAATTTCCAAAAAAAAAGGTTATAAAAGTTCCATCACTTGATTTATCACGGCTTTAAACTTTGAAATTGAAATAAACTATTTGGGAAGAAGGCTCATATTTGCTTAAATCTAAAGATCTATCGAGTTTCTCCTCATAGAGGCTCATTCCCTCCTATAATTTCCAAACTTGAAAATTAATCATAACATAATGATAGAATGAAGTTCAATTGAATATTTGGCCTAAAGAACCAAAATTTGGATAGAGATAGTGCCAAAGAGGCAAAGACGAACATATATTGGAGATTTTGGAGCAAAAAAAAGAACTTTCTTGAATTTGCACGTTGTTAAAATAGAAAAAAATGAGATTAAGATTCAAATAAACAGAGAAAAAATAAGAACACACCTAGCTTTAACTTCTATCCTTAAAACTTTTGTTTAAAAAGCCTCTAAGACATTTCTTTCTACCCACTGATTCATTGCTATCCGCATATTTTCTTGAGCATTTTAAAAAGCTTTTTCTCAAAGTAGTTACAGAAGCACCAATGACATAATTTAAAACCCATAAAACAGAGAGAAAAAGAAGAGTGTCTGATACAGAAAGTAACCTTGAATTGTTCGTGTGGGTGACAACTGGAAAATTTCATTCAACATCGATCAATTTCTTGAATGAAAATCCAAATCAAAATTGGGATTGAAATTACCAAAATCAGATGATCAGAAAAGGAGACAAACTGTATTATTTTTTTTCTTTAACAAACAAACAACATTTTGATAATCCAAGAAAAAATGTTAGGATTCAATAAAAGCAAATTTCTATAAATTTTGGTCAAAACGTGCACTAATTGCGACTATATGCGTCTCTTGCTGAAGACCGCTTCATGAACCCTAAATAATAGGAGCAATCAGTTGACTTTTGGAATCATATAGAGAATCTACCCAAGAGAAGCTGCGAGAAAAAGTAACTTGGAAAGCAAACATCAAAAATGAGGACCTTATGACAAAAGAGATAATCAATATTTCATTGGATTCCTACATAACAAAATTTTGATTAAGGTACTTATAAACAAAAAAACACGGTAAAAGCTTAAATAAGAAAATAGAAGACATTGAATGAAAATGGGAAAAAGATTAGTCGGACCTTATAATATTCTGCAGCAAGTTATTGCAAAAAACTCAGTCAGTAAGTAAAAAATTGAACTTGTTAGAAATTTAACATCACTGAAAAGAGAGGATACCCAATCGTGTAACGACGTAAATTTCCAAAACAATTTTTCATTTTAAAAACATACTCTCATTCATAAAATATCATAGTAATCCAATGTAACACATGTTATCTCAATAAACAAATCCCAAGATCCTCAAATACATAAATCCTCTCAGTGTGTACGGATCATGCCGGCGTCTTCCCGCGATCCTCGCTAGTACCTGAAACACATAACACAACAACTGTAAGCATAAATGTTTAGTGAGTTCCCCAAAATACCACATGCAACACATACGCCACTCAAGGCTACAATACGACCCTCCGGTCGATGTGTCTCAGCGGGACCCTCCAGTTCCGTAGCTCGTTGGACCCTCTGGTCCGGTCATAGCTCGTCGGACCCTTCGGTCCAGTCTGTGTCGTTGGACCCTTCGGCCCGGTCTATATTGTTGGGCCCTCCGGCCCGGTCTGTTCAACACATAGCATACATACAACATAATGCACATAACTCATATATATACACATAGCATACAAGACCCTCTGGTCTACACATAAATACCACTCTAGGTAATGTATAGTGAGAAGACTCACCTCAATGAAGTCAGATAAACTCTCGTGCTCAACGTCCCGACTTAGCCTCCTCCTATTATTCAGATAACATCCCCGATCAATATTCACTCATGATCTCATCTCTACAGATTGGGTAGAAGGCCATTCTACCCTTCTCTGAACTCTCCTGAATCAGTCTTGACCAGAACCCTAAAGTCAACGAAAGTCAACGGTCAACTTTGACCCGACTCGTCGAGTGCACAAGGGCGACTCGGCGAGTCCATGCGGGTCCTCTGAATCCTTTCAGCCTCTCTTGGCTCGTCGAGTCATCCTTCCACTCGACGGGTTACACCTGTCACGAATCGCGGGGCAACCCCGACTCGACTCGTCGAGTCCACTTATGGACTCGGCGAGTTGCCTCCATGTTCATCCTCAAATGACTTCCTAAGGTCAGATCTGCTTCCCTAACTATCAGATCTACCCTTCAAATGTTCAAATGTCACGTAAAGGTGCAACATTTACGTGCATGCAACCCACAACAAGTCATAAATGGAGAAATAACTCTAAAAATGGCAAC